CAAGTCTTAATGGCAGTACACAAAATACAGTATGCACGATGTGACAATATTGGGAGGATGAGCTTAAATACCTCCAGTAACTAAGAAGACAAGGCAGAGGCATCACTCAAGCAGTTTATTCAAGTTTCTAAAAGCAAAGTGTCACCATGAAGCAGGTTTCACTTTTAATATTCAGATATATCAAAATTAAACTAAAATAACAGATCATTTCTGTAGTAGAAATCAAGGAATACTCACAGCTCAGGCTCTCTGCAAGTAGAAGGCACTGAACCTCGAGCTTCCTTAGACCAAGACTCTCAGTGTGTCAGCTGGGCTCTTCCATCCGGTCCGTGGTGCAGTTGGTTAGGGTTTTCTTTTTTTTTTATATATATATATTTGCGTGTAGTAATAGGCTTTTTTTTCTCTCTCTCTTTCTTTCTTTTTTCAGTGTGGCAACCCTCTCAGACTTGTGAACATATTAAAAAGCTCCACCACTATGGATAACAACTTTATCTTTAATCTCAGTGAATGCTTATCTTGAGGAAATTAGTCATATCTTTTATATGAATACCTTCACCTTGGCAATTGTAGGAAGTTTTCCCTTATCCCTCAAAATAAAGCAGCTTTATAAATTCTAAGCAGAAATATGCATTTTCTTTTTTTTTCTAAGAAATGATACAGAATATGTTATATAGACTTTTTATCTTTTAAAATATTTATAAAGCATAATAGTGGGGATAAAGATACATAAGTAAAAATATAACCTCACATCACAAAATAATACCTGTGGTTTTATACTGGATGTAATGCAATAAATACATATATAACACTTTATTAATTTTACATCTGATCACACAATTTTTAGAAATTAATTTTCTGTTAATGCATTTTATACCCTGAAAATGTATAATTTTAGCTAAGTAATATTTAATCAATATAATAAATTAGCTAGTCACTCTGGCTAATTCAAGATTTCAAAATTTTAAATTTAAGAGGGTTCTTTCTCATGATACAACTGTTATTGGACCTCATAATAGTATATTCTAGGCTATGACAATATTGAGATGAATTTCTGATGATTCTTAGAAATGTAAATTGTAGTTTACAAGAGTTTCTGGTTCTTGGGAAACTTTTTTTTTTCTTTTTCTTTTTTTTCATGTACAAAATTTGCTCTTTAGTTTGTAGATAACCAGAACGCCATTAAGGGTGATAAGCAGACCCTTACTTCAGGTTTGTTGATGACTTACTGAGAAGAGGTAGCACACAAGTTGACTTAGAGTTACTTGTGTGGCTATGTGTTATGGACCTTTAAAACACAAGCATTGAATTTGTTTCTTTCTAAATTCATTTTACAAATTTAGTTCTTCACATAAAATGGCATTCCTGTATTGAATGATACTAACCTTAATAAGAAATTATTTTATTCATTAATTTTTAAAGTTCTATTTGATCTGTACATTAATTTAGTATGTTTTTGTGTATTCCTTTAAGACCTTGGATTTATTTTCTAAAACAATCTTATAATTTTAGGACTAGATGAGATTTGTGATGGTTATGCTCCCTGTTTTATCACCGTAATAAACTCTTCCAAGGATATTGAAATATCTCCTGTATTTTAAAGAAAATAATCAAGGAATTCTGCAATTTTTGTTTTGGTCCTAATCTGAAATTTAACCACTATCTGTCCACTTATGTAATTGCTGGCCCTGCAGTTTAATGTCACTTTTTGTTGTTGTCATTTGAAATGAAGAAAAGTTAGTTTTTATATTCCCCATAATTGTTACTCTGCAACTTTGTTTAAGCTTAATATTATTTAACTCAGTGAGCTTTAGCTAACATTATAATTATTTCTGGATGCATACATTTTCTGAACATCATATTCTCCAGAGCTTTTAGTTTGTTATAAATATGACACTTGGGACAGGGTATTTTTAAATTGCTAGAATAAGATTATTTTGTAGCTCTTTACTTACTACCCTCACCCAAAGAACCTCTGAAAAGGAAGATGATTACTGCATTGACCTGGTTTGATTACTGTATTAGTCTGGCAAGAATTTTGCATGTGTATATTGTTTTAAAAAATATATAGCGTGCCCTGGCCAGTTTGGCTCAGCGGTTAGAGCGTCGGCCTGCGGTCCGGAGAGACCCGGGTTCGGTTCCCGCTAAGGGCACGTACTTCGGTTGCAGTTTGTCCCCGGCCCTGGTTGGTCGTGCGGGTGGCAGCCACTCGATGTGTCCCTTCACGTCGATGTTTCTCACTCTCCCTCCCTTCCTCTCTCTCCCTCCCATTCTTTCTGTACAAAAAATGAAAAAATATCCTCGGGTGAGGATAAAAAAAAAAAACATATAGCGTCAAATATTACCATCTTAATGATTTCTACACGTACAGTTTAGTAGCATTAAGTATATTTATATTGCTGTGCAGCAGATTGCTAGAACTTTTTCCTCTTGCGAAACTAAAACTCTATACCCACTAGGTACTAATTCTGCCCCACCCCCCCCCAACAACCACCTTTCTACTTTCTTTGATTTTGACTACTTTAGATATTTTTAGTGGAATCACACAATATTTTTCCTTTTATGAGTGGCTTATTTCATTTAGCATAATATATCAACCAGGTTCACTCATGTTGTAGCATGTAACAGGATTTCCTTCTTTTAAGACTGCATAATATTACATCGTATAGCCATATTTTCTCTATCCATTCTTCTGTCAATGAACATCTGGGTTGCTCCCACCTCTTGGCTATTGTGAATAATACTGTGCTAAACCTGTGACCAGGTTTGAATATAATCTTTTTCTAGTTCTTCATTTTTACGAGCTTTTATCTATTCATTCTGAACTTCCTACTTTCTGTCCCTGTGTTCTTAGCTTGTTCCTATGTATCCTCTTCCCCTCACCCTTCCTTTTCCTCCTTTGTTGGTATCTCAGTTTTTGTTTATATAAAGATCAAAGTAAAAAAGAAGAAATAAATGGATATGCTTATTTGGTGCCATCTATTAACTGATACACTGTCCTCCTTTTATCTAAATCCCGACCCTGGTTAAATTTGGCTCACCACCTACTGCAGGCCTGAACCCTGCTGTACAAAATGAGGACTATTAAGTTCAAACACACCGTCATGCTGATTGGTCTCACTTAAAATTCATGACCACACACCTCAAGTGGGTCTATGTGCAGCCAGCAGTCTTGCTGTATTTTGTTAGTCTGGTGGTTCTCAAAGTATGGTTTCCATACGAGTAGCATCAACACACTCAGGAACTTGTTAAAAATGCAAATTCTTGACTTCATCCCAGACCTTATGAATCAGAAACTCTGGGGGTAGAGGCCAGTAAGTCTGCGTGGTTCTGATGCTATGGTTTGAGAGCAACCATCTTAGTCAGTTCGTGCTTCTATTCTTTGAAAATATGTTTTCACACCTTCACTCTTCTCAAATTGCCAACAACCTCCTCCCCTTCCCCACTCCCACTTCATGATCACTTCTTATTTCAAAGTAAATGGAAAATAGAAGTGCTCAGAAGAGAACTTCCTCATCTTCCTACATCCACAACTGTCTGCATCTACAGGTGCCCCTGTACCCTGCCTTCTTCGCTGTCGCCAGGGCCAACCCCCTACCCCACTTGTACATTATGTCCCATCCACTCTCTCTCCCGGGAATGTATTTCCTCCCTACAGATCTTTGCCATCAACACACAAATGTTTCTCTTTAAACAAACAAAACAAAAACAAACCTTCCTGAAAATCTCTAGGTACTGCTGCGGAGTCATCTATCGTTATGTGAAAATGTTGAATATATGTATTTCTCTGTTTTCATAAAAAATAGTGGAAGGATAAATCAAAAACTAATACCAGTAGTTACCAATGAGAAGTTACCATAGTTCATTTGGGAACTATGTACATGTTTTACATAATTAAAATACCAGATTAGGTCAAAATCTAACTGAAACAGATTGACTTCACTATGTAACAAATCGAAAGCATAACCACAAGAATTCTTTAAAGTGACTTTAAAATAGGGTGGGGTTGTTTTTACATAATTTCAGACTTACAGAAAAATGCAAAGGATTGCAGACACCTTTCACTGAGATTTCCCATATGTTAACATTTTTCTACATTTGTTTTGTCTTTCTCAATTTTTCACTCTCATCTCTCTCTTTATCTACGTATTTATATGTATCCGAAAAAATAAGAAATTCTCTTAATAGCTGCAGTAAAATGATCAGTCAGAGAATTTATATTGAAAGAATACTGTTATATGATCTATAGATCCTTTTCCAATTTCTTGGCTAGAGGCAGGCCAAAGTGTCTCCTTTTCCTCTTCTGATTTCTCCCCTCCCGTTCCCACAGAGAGAAAGGGCAGGTCTAAAGGAGAGGGGTGCCCAGGGAGGGCAGTGAATTCCCTAGGAGCAAGGCTCAATTGGAGTCCTTTAATCTGACTCTTCTTATTTAAGGATGAAATGAATAAAGAAAGAGGATGTTGGGAGGGTGGACAAAGAAGGAGCCATCAGCATCCCCTAAGGGCCAAGTTACAGTGAGGTCAAGTCAGAGGTTTCAAGAAACACTTAAGCACAAGGTGTAAAATATATTTTTCCCTAAACAAATGTAGACTGTCATTCAAAGGAAGAGAACATTAAAAAGGCAGAAAATATATCTTCCTTGAGCATCCATGCTTCCTGAGTAACTCTTTAAATTATAGATGACAATATTATATCAGTTTCAGATGTACAACATAATGATTAGAGTAATTCTTAACACCCTACCCTAATCTTGGAAGCAAATAATTTCTGAAAAAATATTAGATAGAACAGGTAAGTCTTGGGAGAAATCAGTCAGAAGTGAGAATAGGACAAATAATTCAAGTATCCAAAATAATTTCGGAAATTTTTAATGTATTACTCTATTGTCATGTTACTTGGTTTTGTGTAAATTGAATTGTTCATCTTAAATTAATCTTTATCTTTGGTTTGTTTGTTGTTTGTGTGTTTGTCTGTCTGTTTGTTGTTGGTTTTTTTTTTTCCAGCCCCACTGTGTTCTCCTCGCCTCAAAGGAAAACTCGGCACCTGTTAAACTCGGGGGCTTTGGGGTAGCTATTCAATTAGGGGAGTCTGGACTTGTAGCTGGAGGTAAGAACACTTTTTAAAAATATTCTTCAAAACCTGGTCACTTTTAGGCTAGTATACAACTTTCAAACTAAATATTAATCTATCTTCAATGTTTTATACCCTGTTCCACCCAACCCTACCCCACCCCCAAAAGTGCTATCATATACTTTGAATTTAATAACTCTCTAGTCTTAACTAGAATTTTAGTATCCCCAGCACTTAACAGAGAAGAGACCTTACTTACAGAGATCAAAACAATGTTGGAAGAAGATAATATTTGAGGCAAAGTGACTTTTAAAGTTGAACTGACCAGATGAAGTCAAATAAAAAATGTATGGATTATCCACTTTCAGGCTTACATCTATGACTAATTTTTAATTTCATACTGTTTTACTCTTTCTATTTGTCGGAGTACTGCTCAAGCCATAATCTGTGTATTTGGGAAGAGCGAGCAGATATGAATGCAGACTGATTTTATTATTAGCCAAAGCAAAACGTAACTAGAAAATTCCCAGGCCAGAAAACGAAGAAAAGTTAAAATAGAGACTTATTTCAGTAGTGTACAGCGGTGGATGCTGATTACAGATTCAAGTATTTGGGTGTTTTTTTGTTTGTTTGTTTGTTTATTCCTTTTAATAGACTCCAGCTCAGAATGCTGTCTGTTTTTAGTTCTGTTCCTTAGTTTTGCAAATAACTTAGTTCTCCATTCTACCAGTCTTCTAGTTGTTTACTTCTATTTTCTATTTCCAAATACTGCCAGCGTTCACAAAGAGGAAAAATAAGGAAAATATCAACAGTACCTTTTTAAACCTGTTATCTTTCAAGAATCCTTATATTAAATTCAAATACTTGACAAATAATAAATATGAAAATAATAATGCTACACAGGATATTTTTTTTTATTTCTTTTTTAAATTTTATTTCTTGATTTTTAAAGAGACAGAAACATAAATTTGTTATTCCACCCACTCATGAATTCATTGGTCGATTCTTTTTTATATATATAAATTTTGTTTTAAATATGTTTTTATTGATTTTAGAGAGAGAGGAAGCAGGGGGGAAGGGGGACATCAACTTGAGAGGAAAAAGATCAATCTACTGCCTCCTGCATGCAACCTGACCAGGGATCAAACCCACAACCCGGACACATGCCCTGACTGGGAATTGAACCGGTGACCTTTCGGTGCATGAGACACTCACTGCTCAACCAACTGAGCCACATCGGTCAGGGTCATTGGTTGATTCTTGTATGTGCCCTAACTGTGGATTGAACCTGCAACCTTGGTGTGTTGGGACGATGCTTTAACCAACTGAACTACCTGGCCAGTACCTTTTCATTCACTATTACTAAAGCATCAGAGCAGTATTAACATAAACCACCTTCTGAAAAATGAGCCATAGTTTGTATGCTTTAAATCATTATTTCACCACATTGCCCTCTAAAATTCAATTAGGTTTAAATTTGCTTCCTGTTTTGCATTTTCTTCCAGCTAATCATTTCCAATAATATGAGAAACTGCAAGTGGGTATAGTTTTAAAAACTGAATTCTTCTTGCCCTGGCCGGTTTGGCTCAGCGGTTAGAGCGTCGGCCTGTGGTCCGGAGAGACCCGGGTTCGGTTCCCGCTAGGGGCACGTACTTCGGTTGCAGTTTGTCCCCGGCCCTGGTTGGTCGTGCGGGTGGCAGCCACTCGATGTGTCTCTTCACGTCGATGTTTCTCTCTCTCTCTCCCTTCCTCTCTCTCCCTCCCACTCTATCTGTACAAAAAATGGAAAAATGTCCTCGGGTGAGGATAAAAAAATAAATAAATAAATAAAAACTGAATTCTTTTCCTAATTCAAAACTTTTCATTCGTTATCAGAAGACTGACCCAAGGATCAGAGAGTAAAGCATAGTTTAATCATAAAAGCATTGCCTCTCAGGATTCAAAGGAACCTTAACTTCTCTAGTCTTCTAATGACCGAATTCTCTCATAAAATTCCCAGCAAAAGGTTGAGCTCTAGTTTAATTCCTGAGATGGCAAAGAATTCATTATGCCCCAGGACAGGTTATTCAAATTTTGGAAAGATCCTTAAGTATCCTTGCATTGAATAGAAATCTACCTTCCTGTAACTTCTACCCATTGATTCTAATTCTGATTTTTGGAGCCATGTTGAACAGTTTTAATCCTTCCATGTGATAGCCATTCAGATGTTTGAAGACAGCTGGTTTTTTCTCTGAAGTCTTGTCCAAATTAACTTGCCTAGGTTAATTTAGCCAATCCTCATGTAAACTGGTTCTCCTCACTATGCACTAAGTACAGAGCCAGAACCTAAACACAACTACAGGTACAGTCCAGCACACAAAGCTATCACTTCTTTTGCTGTGGGTCTTAAATTTCTATTAGGCTCTCCAAGTTGCATTAGCTATTTGGACAACCACATAATGCTGCTGGCCCATATTAATCTTGCAATCAGCCCAGCCAGTATGGCTCCATTGGTTTAGCATCACCCCATGCGCCAAGAAGTCGCCAGTTCGATTCCCAGTCAGGGCACATGCCCTGGTTGCAGGCTCTATCTCCAGTAGGGAGGCAACTGATCGGTGTTTCCCTCTCATTGATGTTTCTATCTCTCTTTCCCTCTCCCTTCATCTCTCTCTAAAAATCAGTAAAAACATATTTTTTTTAAATCTTGCAATCAACTACAAATCCTACATTGTTGTTGTTTTTAAACAAATGTTGCAGTTAAACTAACATTCAAATCCAGTATTTGTACAGATCACCCCTGTGTTAAGAGTACACAGTTACAACAAATAATTCCTGATAAATACATTCCCAAGGTCGATGGGATAAAATGAAACTACTTCCTTTTATCTATTGTATACTGGCCACATATAATGACTTCGTTTCTGTTGATCTGGATCTGCATCCTATGTATTCAGAATGGCGTGGACTTCATATTTTAGTGTGTATATTGATTAAAGAGGAAAAAGATTCATTAAATTTACCTGGACATTGTCCACATGTTAATCTATTTTCCAAAAGTCTATGAACTTTTCCTCTTAATTGCATAATTTTAAAGCTGATTTTTTTTTTTTTTTACAGATAGAGTGGGAGGGAGAGAGAGAGAGAGAGAGAGAAACATCGACGTGAAAGGGACACATCGAGTGGCTGCCACCCGCACGACCAACCAGGGCCGGGGACAAACTGCAACCGAAGTACGCGCCCTTAGCGGGAACCGAACCCGGGTCTCTCCGGACCGCAGGCCAACGCTCTAACCGCTGAGCCAAACCGGCCAGGGCTAAAGCTGATTTTTGAACCAACAGTGTATGAGTTATGCAAAATTTATTTTTCTCAGTACTTCTAGAGTTAAAACATTTTCTAGCCCTGGCCGGTTTGGCTCAGCGGTTAGAGCATCGGCCTGCGGTCCAGAGAGACCCAGGTTCGGTTCCCACTAAAGGTGCTAAGGGCACGTACCTCGGTTGCAGTTTATCCCCAGCCGTGGTTGGGTCGTGCAGGTGGCAGCCACTCGATGTGTCCCTTTCACGTCGATGTTTCTCTCTCTCTCTCTCTCTCTCTCTCTTCCTCTCTCTCCCTCCCACTCTATCTGAACCAAAAATGGAAAAATGTTCTCGGGTGAGAATAAAAAAAAAAAAAACATTTTCTAAATATTGTCATTTCTTAACATGCCTTTCCTTACAGTCTTGAAGTAACTACTTCAAGCATTACAGTGTCTTTAAAAATATGATACATGTATGTAGGGATAAATGATTTCTCTTATAAAAAGCTTTCCTGTTGTTTAAGGTACTTTTGGAAATTTTGCTAATATTTGTCAGTTAATTTGCTGATATTTAACAGAAAGCTCCTTTCCTGTCAGTTGGAATCTTTGATCACTCAGTCCTCCAAAGAGAAAGGGATTTTCTCTTTTATGTGTTCCATATAGTAAAAACCATTTACTTATATGGGGTGGGCAAAAGTCGGTTTACAGTTGTGCAAATAAATAGTACAATAATTAATAAATAATAACAGAATAAACTGTGTTTCACATACTCACAGTATTGCCCACCTCTGTATATACACTTCCCCTATCTAAAACTCAGCTATTTGGAAAACTCACTTAATCCAGAAGATAACTAGGAACCTAGAAAATCATCATATTAGCAGCAAAACTCTTCCCGCCTTAAAACCCACAGGTTGTCCTCTCAAGTGAGCATCTAAAGACACTCTCCCCTGGCTGGTGGAGCTCAGTGGTTGAGCATCGACCCATGCACCAAGAGGTCATCAGTTCAATTCAGGGCACATGCCCAGGTTGTGGGCCCAATCCCCAGTGGGAGGCATGCAGGAGGCGGCCAATCGATGTTCTCTCTCATAGATGTTTCTATCTCTCCCTCTCCCTTCCTCTCTCTCTAAAAATCAATTTTTAAAAAAACTTTATAAAAAGACACTCTCTATGAGGCTGGCATGCTCTCATTTTTCAAAAAGTTTTCTGGATTTGTGTTTCTTTATACCACCCTGGTTGGAATGCCTTTTGTCATTTTATCTTGTTAACTTATACTGTTCTTGAAGCCTGAGCTAACAATCATCTCATCTTAAAAGCAGGCTGAACTTCACCATCCCAAATTAGGTAACCTACTCCTTCTCTTCCATATTACAATGACTATCTGCGCTACATAACTCCGTGTAGCATTTGATGCCAAGATTTGTAATCATATAGAAGACTAAGCTTTATGAGGGTCGAGGGTGATCATGGCCTGTCCCTCTGTATGTCCGCAGCACCTATAGCAATTGTCTAGGACCTAATAGGCACTTAGGAAATTGTTATTAAATTAAAGATACTGACTGCTAATTAGTTTCCAATTAATAACAGATTTTATGCAACAGATTAGAAGCTGAGTCCGAGTGAGCATAGTGAGAGAAAAGAAACAAAAGCCACAGTGGTTGAGCGTCGACCCATGCACCAAGAGGTCACCATTCAATTCCTGGTCAGGACACATGCCCAGGTTGTCGGCCTGATCCCCAGTAGGGGACATGCAGGAAGGAGGCAGCCAGTCGATGTTCCCTCTCATCGACTTTTCTCTCTCTTTCTCCCTCTCCCTTCCTCTCTCTCTCAAATCAATAAAGAAAAAAAAAGTCAAAAAGAAACAAAAGCCAAACAGAAAAAAGTATGTCAATCAGATACCCAAACTGGGAAAGAACAGCAGCCTTTTAATACTGAACAAATCAACCGTTGCATACCTCGGAAGTTCCTGAGAGGGTTTCCTGTTCTAGAGCATAGTACTTTAATAGATATCCACAATGACAATTCTGAATCATCAAGAAAAGGTTAAATTATGAGCAGCAACTTGTGTAAAAGAAGTCAGGAAATCGTAGGAAGGTAGCCATCCAAAAGTATTAAAGTAAAAAGGTTTGTGTACATAAAGATTCAAGTCCTACAGTATTGAATATGTAACTATTCAAAATAATTCTTTCTCTGGGGTTCTGGGTAATAAGGTCTTATATTATCAGAAAATGTAACATTTAAATATTTAAATGTTTATCTGATATATGTCATATATAGTGACATTTCATTTGGTTTGGTACTTGGCTTCCTGTTCTTAGAATTTTGTGATCTAAGTCATGAAAATCAAGTGACCACAAAGAAGGAAAAGTTAAGAGATAACACACAAGGAGTTTTGGGACATCAATTTACGTCAAAGGTTAACTCCAGTCCTTTTACATTCTACCGATCTGCACAAAACAAAAAAGGTCATTCCTATATATTCTTTCTACCATTGTCTTTCCTGCTATCTGTGAGAAAATTCTTGAACCAAAACACATGCATCTTTCTCAAGGATAAACACTAATTCTCCATATCAGGCTAGTCTTCAATCCAGATAAATGAAGAGGACCTCCTCAGATGCCTGGGGCTGGCCATGGTAGCTTCAACTAGTCCCTAAGTGAGGCCCCCATTTTGAGTTGCTTGGACCTTTCTTATGTGAGCAGTGGTAGGAGGTAAGTTTCAAAGCATCATGCAGTCAGTCAGCAGGTACACTGATCTCTTGTCCTGATCTTCCCTACTCATGCCAGCTCCTGTCCATCAGAACAAGGTGAATCTCCAACGGTCCCGCCCTCTCCCAGCTGTTAACAAAGTCGGAGGCTTAGGTGTCATCGCTTCAGCTTCTTGATGTTACTTGAGGAAGCAAAATGGGGCAATACAGAAATAAAAATATGTTCTTCTAACCAGTAGACATTTCACCGGTCTACTGTACATCTTAAATAAAAATATTTTCACTCTCTGAGCCCTGAACTTAATCTCCTCTATTATGGGGGAGAGAGGGGAACCATAATAATCTGTAGCAAGGAACATCCCCAATATACAAACTAAGAGTTGCTTTATCTGTCTCCATCCCAACCAAGTTTGAGTCACTAACAGGACTTTATGATACATTCTATCTAGCAGGATTGGAAGATCTCTAAGGTCTTTTTTAACTTGGAATCACAGCTCTGAGCTCTAGATAAAGTATTATGCACTATTTAAAGTAAAAATGATTTTGACTCCGTATGATGAGAGAGAGAGAAGAGAAGGAGGGGACTGGGCCCGCATGTAGCCAGAAGAGCTGCCAACACTGTTGGGCAGTGCCCCCTCCCACAATAATTTCCCCACAGAGTACAAGCCTTTCATTCTATAGTAGAAGAAAAGACTCCCTTTGGAATACTGCGGTTACTAGTATGCAAACAGCTGCTAATCATATTCCTTCCTGAAAGCTAATTTTGATAGGAAAAAAAGAAAACTCTTTAAAGAAAATGGGGGTCAAAAAGGATTGAATGAGAGGAGCTTCATGACTTTGGTTTATGTCATATATTTGCCCTCATTCTCTTCAACTGTTAACATCGGAAGGAAGCTTTAAAATCCTATAACAAAACATTGCTAATCATTGCTAATTGCTATCATCAACACCTAAAATCTGAATAGGATTTCAGATTCAAATTCATCTTTCAAATAGAAGTTCTCAGCATTAGGTTTGATTTGAGAATTTCCACTTGGCAGTCAAAAGTAATCTATTATAGCCCTGGCCGGTTTGGCTCAGCAGTTAGAGCGTCGGCCTGCGGTCCTGAGAGACCCGGGTTCGGTTCCCGCTAAGGGCACGTACCTCGGTTGCAGTTTGTCCCCGGCCCTGGTCGGTCGTGAGGGTGGCAGCCACTCGATGTGTCCCTTCACGTCGATGTTTCTCTCTCTCTCTCTGTTCCTCTCTCTCCCTCCCACTCTACCTGAACAAAAAATGGAAAAATGTCCTCGGGTGAGGATAAAAAAAAAAAAAGTAATCTACCATACAGGTGTTTTCTCAGCCCTGCACCACCCATTCGCTCCCCGCCCCCTGCCCAGGGCAGGCCCTCCTAGCTCTTTCCTGAGCAGCTACACTCTGCCTACTGACTCTTCTACCTGCTTCTGCTCTGTATTTTTAGTGATTTAATAACATGTGAACATTAGAAAACTTAAAAAACTTCATGCCCTGGCCAGTTTGGCTCAGCAGTTAGAGCGCTGGCCCTCAGACCAGAGTTGCGGGTTTGATTCCGGTCAAGGGCACGTACCTCGGTTGCAGTTTGATCCCCACCCTGGTCGGGGTCGTGCGGGAGGTGACCAGTTGATGTGCCTCTCTCTCTCTTTTTTCCTCTCTCTACCCCCTCCCAATCTATCTGAGGATAAATTGAAAAATATTCCTGGGTGAGAATTTAATAAAAAATAAACTTCTTCATGAAGCGAGAAATAGGTAAACACTTGCTGTGCATCCTGCTGAATTCAGTAGGAAAGACCAGTGTTAGAAGACCAAGTACCTATCCTGAGCTCTATTTTCAAGAAGTGATTAGATAAATAATTTATTTCCTTCTGAGAACCTGATTTTATGGAGGAGGGCACGGGTGATAAGAGACTATATTGTTAAACTTTTTGTTCAAACTGTTGTTCTATCATTTTCAGTTTTCAAACAGGGAAAAAAGCTTGTTTTACATAAATATTTTTTTCCTTGATGTTGTTGTTGTTTTAAATATAGGACGCGTTGGAACACCTCATTTTATGGCCCCAGAAGTTGTCAAAAGAGAGCCTTATGGAAAGCCCGTAGATGTCTGGGGTTGTGGTGTGATCCTTTTTATCCTGCTAAGTGGTTGTTTGCCTTTTTACGGAACCAAGGAAAGATTGTTTGAAGGCATTATTAAAGGAAAATACAAGGTAATATATCATGAATGTTTTACTTTTTCCATTGAGATTAAATTATTCTGAAAAATGTGTTTGCAAGTAATTATCTGTCTTTGGATTGCTTGTTGATTGTCACATAGTTACCAAGTCAGAGAAGAGTTCTTTGCTTACGTCACTGACTCACTAGCCTTGGTGGGCAACATAGGCTGCAAGTAAATTTCTGAGTCTTTGTCAGCTGAACTGTCATCTAGGTAGAAGAGCCGGGATTGGCTTCAAAACAGCCAGTATCTTGCCCCTCCCTTCTCCTTCCCTCTGCGCTACAGCTAAAGCCTATCCACCCTGTTTGGATCCCAACTCTGTGTTTAGGCTAGAAAACAGGGAGCCTGGTCCTCTTTCATACAGTGTAAAGACCAGAGGCCAGATGGATGTGCCCCTCCCCTCACGTCCAAGTCAACCGTTTAAGAGTCCTGATTCACAAACCACATTCACTACAAATCAAATTCTTTAACTACAAATACATATAGTCTAGCAAAACTGCTCGTTTAGCTAAGTCAAAGAAATTGCTCAGTCACTGCCCTACTGATTTCAAATAAAATTCTGGTTCAGGGAAAGAATTTGGAATCATCCTTAGAATTTTTCGTGATAGATTTTGACCTTTTATTTTACCCTGAGTAAGATGTTTGTGACAGACCTGAGCCCAGATTTAAAAGTATTCATTAGCTGCCTGGTGACCAAACTCATTTATTGAGACTAAGCTGGAAAATGAACTTCTTTGTGTAATTTTTTAAGGCATTTTTTTTTTTTTTGCTTAATTTGTAAAGTTAAAATGGAAATTTTATCCAGGTAATTTCAGTAATTCTTTATTTTATATTCAGCGTCTATCAGCGTTTGTTTGTTTATGCTTTATCACATTTCATTTATTGCATTTATGTAGTCAACCAGTACAGCTGAAAAATTGCCATTTACATTCTAGAATAACCCGAAATAAATGCCAGTATCACAACTGCAGTCCTTAATATAATATAGAACCATCTTGGTGTGACTTAAACATTCCTTTTTTTTTTTTTTTTCCTAATGAGGTTTGGAAGCCACATGTACAGTTCACACACTTCTGATTAGTAAATTACTACTTTCATTATTTAAAGAGTACAGTGTTGTTACTGATATTGTGAATAGTGGTACCAAAAAGACCTAAGGAATTCTTGGAAATCAACCAGCTTCAGGTTGATCACTTCCCCAGCTGTCCTTAGATGTTTTCGCCCTGTACCACCACATATGGCTGATGGAATAGGATGCTGTATATGGGAAGTATGGGGGAGTGTGTCTGGGTATCAGATCAGGGCAGCTTATATTAGAGAAGTTTTTTTTTTCCTCCCATTCTTACTAAAACCTGTACTTTCTACTCATCAGAACCACTGTTTCATTTTTAGCCACGCCTGGCAACATAAAACCAAACATACAGGTTTATATACCAATAGACTCCAAAACTGTGAAGTCCCTAAAGTTTTCTTTTCAATTCTTCAGTAACGTTGTGATTTTATATGGAACTTGGGGAAAAAAGGTAAAGAAAAGGGGAAGAAGAAAAAAAAACGAGAAGACAGGTAAAGTAGTTTCAGTGTTACGGCCTTACTCTTTTAAGCCAAAACTGAAGCTTGTGGAGTTAAGAAGGTGAGACTGGTTTATAATTGGGGGGGGGGGGGGGGGGGCATGCACCATCAGCTTATAAAGGCACATGGGTTTGTCTTTTATTTCATTTGGATTAAGATATATGCCAAGTCCGGCCGGTGTGGCTCAGTGGTTGAGCATCGACCCCTGCACCAAGAGGTCACTGGTCCGATTCCTGGTCAGGACACATGCCCATGTTGTGGGCCCGATCCCCAGTGGGAGGCGCCCAATCGATGTTTCTCTCTCTCTCTCCTTCTCATTTCCTCTCTCTCTAAAATCAATAAAGGAAAAAAAAATATTTTGTTTAATTAAAAAATAAAAGATGTATGCCAAAACTCTGTTAACAGAGAGAGATGTTTTAAGTACAGGTTTTTCTGCTTTTCTTAGAGTCAGTTGGCCACTGGGGAATAAAATTAAGCCTTTCAAGGTAACTCAGTGTCTCAGGAAACTGCTTGTAAGTAATGACTCCTCTCCAATCCCTGGAAATTGTGAGTGGCTATCGGGAATACACACCAAGGCTTTCTGGATGAACTTTACTAAGTGAAATCACAGATATTAACATATGAAAATAAACACAATTAGTAATGCATCAGCATAATAATACTAGCAATAAGGATAGCTAACTCATGCAAAGCACTTACTTAGTGCCATGGACTGTTCTAAGCACTTATATTTAATTTATTTCATCCTCACACTGATTTATGACATAGGTGCCATATAATAAAATCTCCCACCTGCCTTTTTGAGTTATAAGCATCTGCTAATAATAGAGTTCTTCCTTTGTGTTTGTTCAGTTGCTAACTTCCTTGTTTCCAAGGCAATGTGTTTCATTCCAACAACTTCTTGCATTTGATTTTGTCTATATTTAAAGCATTGAACAGTTATTTTTGTTTCTGTGTAAGAAACTTGGACTGTTCACACATGTACAAAAGTTAAATTATTTTCAAATTCCCCAATATTATTATTATTATTATTATTATTATTATTGTAAGTCAGATGGATGGTGGCAGCTAAATCATAATTTCTGTACCTGAAGGTTTGAAACTTTGAGGTTAATAACTTATTTATGCTTTTACTTGGCTAAGCTCACCTCTTGCTTTCAAAATTCATGGCTTTTTTTTATAAAAGCCCCAGGTTTTTAGCAGCTCAGTTGTTGAAATATAGATTCATCTCTACCATCGGTGATGAACCTGGTAGATTATTTTTTTTAAGTATACTGTGCTATGATTCTGTCAACACTTATGTTTATACTTTCAATTATTGAAAATTTCAAGCAAACAAAAACCAGAGAGGTAACAGTATAATGAGCCCCAGCTTCAACACTTATCAACATACAGCCCATCTTGTTTTCTCCATATTCTACATATTACTGGATTATTTTGAAGCAGATCTCAAAAATATCTTTTTATCACCCTGATGGTTTTTAACAGCTATTGACAAAATCCTTGATTTCTAGTATTTTCAATTTTTGATGACATCTTTTTCAATGTAGTACATTTCTCATTTGCTAGCTTACTTGATCTTTTAAAGTAGATATGAGAAAATACCATTTAACTGGAATATATGCTAACATTTCATTTCAATTATCTTTTTTTCTAGTACAGTTAACATTCAATACTATTTTATATTAGTTTCAGCTGTACAGCATAGTGGTTAGTTATATAATTTATGACGTGCTCCCCTCCCCCCCAGTTGTTCCCAATACCCACCTGACACTGTACATAATTATTATAGTATTGACTATATTCCCTATCTGTACCCGACATCCCCACGATTATTTTTTTACTGATGATTTTTATTTATTAATCTGTTCACCTTTATCACCCAGCCCCCCAACTCCCTCTCATCTGGCAACCCTGTTTGTTCTCTGTATCTATGAGTCTGTTCAATTAACTTTTTCATAAAGGACAAAAATATATTTCCCAAAGTATATAAAAGATACAGTAGCCCTGACCGGTGTGGCATGATTGGACATCATCCCTCCCATGCAGCGAAAGGTCGCCAGTCCAGTTGCCCAGTCAAGGGCACATGCCTGGCTTGCCTGCTCGAGCCCCTGTATAGGGGGCACCCAGGAGGCAGCTGAGCAATGTGTCACTCTCATGTTAATGTTTCTCTCTCTCCCTCTTCCTCTCTCTTTAAAAAAAATCAATAGAAATATATTTTTTAAAGATACAGTATCATATCATTGTTACAGATAGCCAGTTGGTATCTACACAGCAGAAGTCTATGCTGCCTGGCTTTCCTATTTAAATAAGTGACTGCTTTATAGCCTTGTTTTGTTTCCCCTTATATATTCAGCCTCCCAAATTAATTTCAGCCACTCTGCTGAGCCAAAAGAAGGGAAAACCCTAGATTGGGCTCCCTCATAAAAAGGATGAGGAAGTATTGTTCTCAACCCACTCCAGAAATCTTCCCACCGCTTTCAGAGGGTTTCTCAAACCCTTTCCCAAGGACCAATCATTCAGACTTGGAAGAGTACAATAGCTTTAGGATGGAGAAGAAGGAACAAGGCTACTTAAGCTCCCTTTAATCACTCACCTCCTTATTTCATTCAAACTGGTCAATTAATTACAATTTCAGTAGGATGACAGTATTTTGACAACCTCATGGCATTCATTTTGATGGGCTCTGAGTATCATTTGGAATTCTGCCTGTTAGAAAAAGAAAATGGAACATCCTCCAATTTTAAGAACTCTCTCTCCCTAAACTGGGGAAATTTTCACTCCCTACCTACAAGTACAAACCTCACATTAGCCAGAGCAAAGTGGCTAATGCTAACTCTTGACCAAATTGTAATGATTCATATGTACTATATGCAAGTTGTGATTTCATTCGGCTTTAAATTGTTATAGACTTTGTTCTCCACCTTTCTCCCTTAGAAGTTAACGTAGGTTGCCCTGGTCGGGTTTGGCTCTGCGGTTAGAGCATTGGCCTGCAGACCAATGAGTCACAGGTTCGATTCTGGTCAAGGGCACAGTACCTCAGTTGTGATTTGTCCTAGGCCCTGGGTGGGGTCTTGCAACCACTCAATGTGTCCCTTTCACATCGATGTCTCGCTCTCGCTCTCGCTCTCGCTCTCTCCTCCCCTCCCCTCCCTCCCACTCTATCTGAACAAAAATGTAAAAATATCCTCAGGTGAGGATAAAAAAAAAAGAAGGTGACATAGGTTACTTCCAGTTAAAGTCATAGCGTTGCTTAAAGCTCCTTAGAACCAGGCAGCTTACTGAAGTCGGCTTTTCTTCTATTAAACAGGGAATGAGACCCTCCTGGGTCTCTGTCCTACTGACCCACTTGCCTTCCCAACCCCAGACTCGAAGCATGCCTTTGCATTTGTTTCTGGTTTCTGATCCCAGACTTACCCCTTTTCCAGGAGGCTTCCAGCTCTTTTCCTCACAGACCCACAGCCTTTCTCACAAGTCCTGTGTCTTCTAAACAACTCATAATTTTTTTTCTTTGACTTTAGTCAGTTTACCTTGTGGCTTTGTTGTTGCTAAAAAGGGGACAAAAGTAACTTCACTGAGGACAGTACACAAGTGAATTGCTTATTTCATAGGGTATATAGTAATAGTATATTTTTCCCTAAAGATTGAAATTGATATACAGTGACCAAAATATTCGATTAATAACTGTATACCTTCACAATTACTGCAAATTTTAATTAAAATCAAAATATGAAAATGTCTTTAATTTTTTCATTTAAAAAAATAATGAAATTTTTCATTTTAAAATTTTCTTTTAGTTCTTTCTAGGCCAAAATATTCTAGACCCTAGCTGAGGTAGAAACTGGAATCATAGCCCTGGCCAGTTTGGCTCAGCAGTTAGAGCGTCGGCCTGTGGTCCGGAGAGACACGGGTTCGGTTCCCGCTAAGGGCACGTACTTCAGTTGCAGTTTGTCCCCGGCCCTGGTTGGTCGTGCGGGTGGCAGCCACTCGATGTGTCCCTTCATGTCGATGTTTCTCTCTCTCTCTCTCCCTCCCACTCTATCTGTACAAAAAATGGAAAAATATCCTCGGGTGAGGATTAAAAAAAAGAAAAAAGAAACTGGAATCATAAACATTGTATTTTTCAATTATTAAAAATATAGCTTAGGTAACAAGAACATATGTAAGGAATATTTACTGATGCAAAATCTCATATAATGAGCAACAACAGCAAAAGAATTACGTTTGTCTTGCTCCTTAGAAAGCATGCCTTTAGAATTCGTTTTCTAGTCTTCGCTCTGAGAATTTCATTGACCTGGAAACAGTATAGGAATATTAAATAGTAGTGAATGTTAACTTCTCACTGGGAATAACTGTCATTTTCCTTTCCTCCTCTTCAGATGAACCCACGGCAGTGGAGCCATATCTCTGAAAGTGCCAAAGACCTAGTGCGTCGCATGCTGATGCTGGATCCAGCCGAAAGGATCACTGTGTATGAAGCGCTGAATCACCCCTGGCTTAAGGTACATGAGCTCCTAGGTGGCCTCCGCCGCTTTATTTGAGCACTTCCAGTGACAGCAGTGCTGGGTGTTCATCATGTTATGTCATGCTACTTGTCCAGAGATTATACAAAACAAAATATATTAAAACATAGGTTAATAATGTATCTTAGTGTCAATGACACAAATAATACCATCACAGGACAATTTTGAGATTCCAGGGGATCTTGATTCTCCTTCAGAATATCACTTCTCAAGTCTGTGTTCAGCCTTGTGATACTCAGTTCTAGTTATTCTTGACTTGAGATGTCCAGTTCTAGTTATTCCTGCTTTCACCCAGAAAAGTGCAGGTAAACAGTTCTTAGATACTGTCTTAGTACAGGCACACCCTGCTTTATAGTGCTTTGCTTTATTGCACTTCACAGATACAACATTTTTGACAAATCGAAGGTAAGACCCTCCGCCAGCAAAAGATTATTACTTGCTAAAGGCTCAGGTGATGATTCCATTTTTAGCAATAAAAGGTTTTTTAATTAAAGTATGCACATTTTTTAGACACAATGCTATCACACACTTAATAGACTACAGTACAGTGTAGATGTAACATTTATATGCACTGAGAAGCCAAAAAATTCATGAGACACTTTACTGCAGTGGTCTGGAACCAAACCTACAGTATCTCCAAGGTATGCCTGTATTTCTTTCTCCCAGAAATGAAGAATGTAGGAATCACTCCTATTTCTCCTTTGCCTTTCTCAGTCTCTTCATAATGAGGATCTTTTGTTCATTAGAAGCTAGTTTAAATGCCAAATAACAATGACATATTTGCATAATAACATTTATTTTTTTAAAACCCTTGTCCCTACAACGATTATAGGTCTCATTCTAAATAATCTGAGCATAATACACAATAAAGATTTCTGGCACCAGAAAAACAACAGACAAAAATGTCAGTAACTTATATGAAAGGGTCCAGAAGGCTATTTGACATCAGAGTATGTGCCATGTATAAACGACAGTTTAGCTTCACTGTTTGTGTGTCATCAGAAGATGGAAGAATGTAATGAGGATGTTATCTAGTTGATGAGAACAAGCTTATTATATTTAAATACTTGTCCATGTTTACTTGTATATTATGGCTGTGGATGTAGTCGTGTGAATTTAGTAATGGCTAAAAATTAAGCTATGGTTTAAATATAAAAAGCTCCTGAATAACTGCAAAGTGAAGAAATAAAATGATGGAAACCCTTGTAGAGTGCCCAAAGTCATACCATTGCTTTGTGTCCAAGAAAACAACACACCAAAAAAAAAAACAAGAATTATTTCTTTGGTAAAAACAAATAAATAACGATGTCCTATTCAGTCATTTCATTTCAAAAGATAATTTGAGTAAATATACCAAGTAATATGTGAATGTCTTATGATTGCTAGTTAAATCATACCTGTTTAACAGCTTCATCTGTCTAAAATAGTGATGCTTGCTGTGAATATTCACTCCCAACAAAAAGTGAGACCAACTAAAATTGCATTTTCCTCATAGGTGATTGAGCTCATTTCATACCCTTTGTAGTCTTAATATGGAGACCCTAAAGTATCTTACTGTACTAAAACATGACAAGGATATTTCTGTCAGGCTAATCAATTTGAATTTTGGGAAAAAAATCAATCAACACACCAATTAAATGTGTACTCAGCATCCATTGTGCACAAGGGACAATGAATCAAGTGCAAGGCACATTCTATACAAATTTTTCTGAATTCATATGACATTACTGTTAGTTTCAGGTGAGACTAGTTAATCTAGAAAACATTCTGTTTGTTCTTTTGTCTCATTTGTAATGCCTTGGAGTTCTGTTATTGCTTACTTGTTTTCTGGTAAGCGCTACCTTAATAGGCTTTTTTTAATCTCATGATTTCATTGGCTTAGATAATATCACGAATCATCATTTAAGCATAATTTTATAAACAAACATATTTTTGACTGTGTCCTTATCTCTTTCTCCACTTCATCTTTGTGAATAGTAAACAGAAAAGGCATTCACAAGAAATCGAGTTCAGTCTGCTATGCACTAAACTTCTCAATCTATTAGTGAGAGAAAGGCATTGTCAGGCTCTGAAATGGATTTACAAATGGCACTAATATTACAGACAAAGAAAGATAACCTCAGAGAGTCACATGGGAAGCACCACACAAGAGTACAGAAGTAGGAGCTCAGGAAGACTAATGAGAAGCTCGAGAAATCACTATAGGCTGGAGCTCCAGGTGTTAGTGGGAAGGGGGTCGTGTGCTCCAGGTGGGAAGTATACGGGAGCACAGACAAAGCATTACGGTGTTCAGGGCATGCAGGGATGGGGGCAGGAAACAAACTGGTATAATACAGTAGTCCCCCCCCTTACCCTAGAGGGATACATTTCAAGACCCCCAGTGGATGCCTGAAACCATGGATAGTACCAAACCCTAGATATGCTATGTTTTCTCCAATACATACGTGCCTAGTAAAGTTTAATTTCTAAATTAGGCACAGTATGAGATTAACAACAATAACTAATAATAAAATAGACCAGTTGATCTAATAACCAAGACAGCTACCAAGCTGGACAAAGGGATAATTCACACCCAGAGCAGAATGAACTGGGGCAGCATGAAACTTCATCACGCTACTACAAACAGCGCACAATTTAGCACTTATGAATTGTTTATTTCCGCAATTTTCCATTTAATATTTTCAGACCATGGTTGACCGCGGGTAAATGAAACTGCAGATAAGGGGGAACTACTGTACAAATGTCAGCTATTTAAAGGATTGTAACAGTAGCAGACTAGAAATTTTGGTTTGAGTGAAGAATATGTAATCTAGAATGTCACATTAAGTACTTTGGATGTTAGGGTGTAGAGAGTAAAGAGCTGCTGCTAGCTTTTGAGCGATGGTACAGTGTGAGCAGCGTGTTCATGTAAGTCCTTAGGACACTGTGCAGGTGGATTACCTGTCGAGATGGAGGCAGTAGAGGTAAAGAAAGAGATCCTATAGAAGCTATGGCTGTGACAGGGGCCTGGACCAGGGAATAAAAGTGGGAGTGGGAAAGAAATACCCAGACTGAGAGATTTTAAGGAAGGCAGATTGATGAGACTCGGTGAGTTAATTCGAGGTATTTAGAATTAGGACGCCCATAGGAGGATTAAACATGTAAAGTGGAAGTGATGTATTTTAAGCTTTTTATTTTGAAATAATTTTAGACTCACATAGAAGTGGCAAAAATAGTAGAGTTCCCGTGTGCTCTTCACCATCCTTCCCTCCAGTGATAACATCTTGCATAAAGCCATAACACGATGATCAAAACTAGGAAATCAACGTTGGAGTACTACTATTAACTAAACCGCAGGCCTTATTTGAATTTCACCAGTGTTTATATATATTCCTGGGGGGGGGGGCGGTTCCATGAAATTTCATCGCATGTGTAGAATTGTATAACTACCACCATAATCAGGATATAGAGCTGTTCTTTCAACCCTCATACTATTCCTTAATAATCATATCCTCCCAACTCTAACCCCTGGTAACTACTGATCCATTGTCCATCACTGTAGTTTTTGTCCTTTTGATAGTATTTTATGAATGGAATTATACGACATGTAACTGTTTAGGGAAAACTTGGTTCTGTGTGTTTCTCCTTTATTCTTACCCTACTACCTAACTCACAACACTTCTGACCACCAGATGCATGTGGGTTTTTTCCCATACCAAGCAATTCTCTTGACACCAGCAGGGTGTACTACATTTCAGTTAAATTCTGGCACTACCTGGAGTTAATGCAGACTCCACAGGTTAAGGACTCAGTCCCACCGAGAGTGCCCCCCACTTCAGATGCCATTTGCAAGTAGTAGGTCCCCAGGTTACCTACAGTGTTTATCCCACTTAGGTACAAATGGGGCTTCTTGGATTTGATTATTTGCTAGAACAGTTCACAGAACTCAGGGTAATACTTTATGTTAATTAAACATCACCAGGCATAACACAATTAAAATTTATAATCTATAATCAGTAACAGCAATCCATTAAAAGATACCATTGCTTGTTCTAAAATAGTACTTTTATCCTTCTCTCTGCTAGTTAATTATTTGATAAATTCTTATGTGTTCTATACTGGTGAACCTGTTTTGGTTCAGTGCTGGGGAAGAAGGTTAAGTCCCTAAAGATAATGAAATAATTTCCAAGATGTTTAGCACATAGAATGCAGCAGAGATTAACCTTGTAGTAATTTTGACATTGACTGGTGTACGTGTGCTCAAGAAAAATACAGTTTTACTCTCCAGTGGAACCCTTGTTACTTTTAGTCATTAATATAGAAAATGAATTTTGAAGTGTTTGCATTCATTTCTTAAGAATTTTCAGATAAGGTGAAATTTTGACAGGGGCTAACTGTAAAATTCTACGTTTAAATTCGAAAATAAAATTTGTAAGTACATAATATGAAAACTTTGATTTTAGAAGTTGCTCATATGCAAACAAGAATTTTAATTACATAAGAATAATAATAATAATATCGTCTTGAGCTTAATTTACAAATATTATATAGTATCCAGATCAAGGAAAGTAAGAGGACCACTTCACTCCATACTAATTAATCTTCATCTGGTATAACGCATCTCATTTTTCTCCACTATGTAATATATGAATAATGATGTGTACCTCATTTGTGAAATATAAGTAATAGAAACATAGAGCGCTAGAACAGCCTGGCAGATAATAAGCCCTCAGTAAACGCTAGTTATCTCTGCTATCTTATATAGTTGTTTTAAAAAATAAATGGGATAATGTCTGTGAAAGCACCACATTCAGTGCCTGTGGCATAGTTAAGTACTAACAATACTTAATACCTTCTAAATGTTTATGACCCACCCAAAAATTTCACTTCTCTCCTGAACTCCAGGCTTATTTGCCCAAGTACCTACTTGCATTTTATGTATCTCAAGCAATAGTATATCCCCAACTGCAGTCCTGCTCTCTTCCCTCTCTCATCACCTCACCCCAAATCTATTTTATCTGCGGTCTGTCCCATCTCAGTTGGTATCAGACTTCCAGTTGAAAACCTTGATGTAGTCCTTTACTCTCTCTCACACCCCACATCCAATCTGTCAATAAGTCCTGTTCTTTCTACCTTCAGTATATATTCAGAATTAAGGACTTCTGTTCTGTCCGGCCAGTGTGGCACAGTGGTTGAGCGTGGACCCATGCACCAACAGGTCACAGGTTCAATTCCCGGTCAGGGCACATGCCCAGGTTGTGGGCCCGATCCCCAGTGGGGGGCATGCAGGAGGCGGCCAATCCAAGTTCTCTCTCATCGATGTTTCCATCTCTCTCTCCCTCACTCTTCTTCTCTCTCTCTAAAATCAATAAAGAAAAAAAAAAGAACTTCTGTTCTTGGAAAGACACTGTAAGAGAATGAAAAGACAAGCTACACACATTGAGTAAATGTTTGCAAATTATATATCCCATGAAGGACTTATATCCGGAATATATAAAGAATTTTTAAAACTCAATAATAAGGAAACACATGGGGTGACTGGATAAAGAAGGTAGAGGGATTAGCTAAAGAACATATATGCATACCCCGTACACAGGGACAATGGTGAAGGCCAAGGGAGGGAGAGGCAAGGTGGGTGGAGGTGGGCAAAGAGGGAGAAATGGGGGGCATCTGCAATAGTGTTGACATTAAAATTTTGTAATGAAAATATAAAAGGAGGGAGAATAATGCCTCTAAAAATAAGAAGAAGAAGGAGAAAACAGCCCATTTCAAAACAGGAAAAGATTTGAACCGACACTTAAACAAAGAAGATACATGGATGGCAAATAAGCACACACAAAGTTGCTGAACATCCTCAGTCATTAGGGAATTACAAATTAATGCCGCAGTGAGCCATCTGTACACACACGTCTCAGAGTGGCTAAAATGAAAAAGACCAACCACACCAAGTGTTGGCGATGATGTAGAACAACTGGAACTGATGCACTGCTATGGAGATGTAAAAAATGACCACTTTGGGAAACAATTTTGCGGGTTCTTAAAATGTTAAACATACACTTATAGTATGACCCAGCCATTTACTACTAAATATTTACCTAAGAAAAATGAAATATATGTCCATACAAGGACTTGTACATAACATAATGTTCATAGCAGCTTTATCTGTAACAACGACAAATTGGAAAAAATCCAGGGTCCATCAACAAATAAATGGATAAACAAATTATGGTATATTCTTATAACAGACTACCACTCAGCAATAAAAAAGGAATGAACTATTGATAAATACAACAACATGGATGAAGTTCAGAATCTTTTTGCTGAGTGGAAGAAACTGGACCATAATGAATACATACTGTATGATTTCATTTATGCTCCTTATACCTTAGTAAAAGTTTGGGGGGAAAGCAAAATAAAATATATTCAGAGTCAACCTCCTTTTTGGTTTTTTCCATCTGATTTCATCCGCCATCATCTCTCCCCTGTATTACTACAGCAGCCTCTTAACTGATCTCCCTGCCTTTTTTTTTTAATCCTCACCCCTTTCCAATCTATTCTCAACACAGCAAGCAGAGTGTTCCTTTAAAGTTGTCAGATCATGTCCCTCCAGCTCGAAATCCTCCAGTGGCTCCCCCTCTCTCTCAGAATAAAGGCCAGAGGCCCTTTATGACCTACCCAAGCCTTGTCACCTCTCTGATCTGACCTACTGTTTACTCCACACATGGGTCTCCTTGCTAGTTCTCAAAAACTCCAGGCACACTCTCCTTTGGGCTTCTGCACTGATTGTTCTTTCTGCCTGGACCACTCTCTCACCTCTTTCAAATGTCACCTTCTCAACTGGGCCTACTTTGACCACCTATTTTAAATTACAGTGTTCCGACCTGGAAAGTATTATCCTAAGTGAAACAAGCCAAGCAGAAAAAGACAAATACTACATGATCTCACTTATTTGTGGGATATAATGAACATAACAGTCTGAGGAATAGGGTAGACCCAGAAACACGGAAGTAGGGCACAGACTGACAACCCTCAGAAGAAGGGGTGGGGGGAGGGAAGAGATAAACCACAGAACTTATATGCATGTGCGCAAAGCCAATGGACATGGACAACAAAGCCGGGACGGGGGAGGGGGGGTGGCGGTGTCAATGGGGTAAAAAAAGGAGAAACATCTGTAACAAAAACAAAATTAAAAATAAAAAAAAATTTTTTTAAAGTTGCAGTGTCCCCAATCCCTCTTACTCTACTTTTTGCTTTATTCTATAACACTTTTAACGTACTCTATAACCTACCTTTTTTGGACTTTCTTATCTTCTCCCACCAGAATATGAGCTACATAAGGGTCTGAATCTTCGTTGATTTTTGTTTACTCGTGTATCCCAAGTACATAAAACAATGCCTGGCACATAGTAGGCTCTCGAGAAATATTTCTGAAATGAATCCTTACAGCATATAAATTTTTAAGGTACATTGACAAATTAGAGTAGAACCAAAGCAGGGCATAAGAAGCGTGACAAGTGCTTTGAGATATACCTGAGGAATAATTGAGACAACTAGAAACGTTATCACAGAGGAGAATTAGATTTAGTGGAAGCATGATCTCCCTCTTAACTACCGAAAGGTTATTATATGCAAGAGGTAATCAGTTTATTTTTTGATGCCCCAGAAGACAGAGCTAGCCCAAACAAGCCAGATACGGGCCCAGGCTGAGTAAGAACATTTTTACTTTCTTAAAATTGTAATGGATTGCCATAAAGTAATGCTCTCCTACTGGACAAGGTCAAAAAGAATGATCATCCATCAGAGATTGAAGGGGATCCCACATGGGGAAATGGTTGAATTAGATGGCCTTGAAGTTTGTTCTAGGTAGAAAATACTGTGGGTTTTTTTTTAAATCCAGTTATTCCTGACAACTCAGAATGCCAAATCAGTTGTGGAGTTAATTTTCCAAATGCTCATTTTTCCAGACAAAATCATGTCAAAGGTAACTTCATACCATAATCATCATATGATTAATTATTTTAGCCATATATCTGAAAATTATTTGGCTTGTTATTTGTGCCCTTTATTATTGCTGAAAATAAAATATTATCTTTCTATTAGTTTTGACATTTGAGAATATTTACCAGTATCGTGGAATGAAATCTCCAGTCTCCTAGAATTCAATCTAAGTTTCACATTTAGGAATTTGGACTTTATTGTTTGTTTTAGGTTAAACTTATTCACTTTTTTAAACAGTTATGGGTGTTCAATATCTTTCTTATTTTATAGGAGAGAGATCGTTATGCCTACAAGATTCATCTTCCAGAAACAGTAGAGCAGCTGAGGAAATTCAATGCAAGGAGGAAACTAAAGGTAAATGAAAGAAATCATCAAAAAGCCAGACAGAGCCCTGGCCGGTTTGGCTCAGCGGTTGGAGCGTCGGCCTGCGGTCCAGAGAGACCCGGGTTCGGTTTCCACTAAGGGCGCGTACCTCGGTTGCAGTTTGTCCCCGGCCCTGGTTGGGTTGTGTGGGTGGCAGCCACTCGATGTGTCCCTTTCAGGTCGATGTTTCCCTCTCTCTCTCTCTCTTCCTCTCTCCCTCCCACTCTATCTGAACAAAAAGTGGAAAAAATGTCCTTGGGTGAGGATAAAAAAAAAAAGCCAGACAGATACAGTTGATGATAATGTTTTTATTCTGTTTCCAAGCCCATGAAGATGTCCTAATGTTGACCATTGTTTTTTCTTATAGTTAAATTCTGACTTCCAGAAATTACCACCATTTCAATAAGATTTTTATTTTTTTAAATCATATAAGGTAATATTTAAGCATGAATCTAAACAAGTTATAATAAATGGAAGATTAATCATATTTTAAATTTATATTATTTTTGAAATTCATAGCAGAGATAAAATTACTTTAAAACAGTAATTTACTATTATTATCCATTATTGTTTAATATGAATCTAGGCCACATTTTCTCAAACAAATATTTTGACAAACAAATGTGCATTTAGTTTAGTGGAAACAACACTGAATTAAAATTTGAACTAGGATTGAACAGCCATCACAAAGCAGTAAAAATCCCCACTACCTTGGTCTACTAGAAATTATTTTGATTACTTTTCTCACCTTTTTTCATTCTTCCTAACTACATTTTCACTTTTACCACTCTCCTTAACCTTCACCCCACCAAAAAAATTGGTAATTACATTATATGGGAAGCCCATTTGACATTAAAAGCTGTTTAAAAAGAGCCAACATAAAATAATGAAGTCTTCAGCACTGGGCAAAAATTTTATAGGACAGCATTTTCTGCTCCCCCCTACAAAGGAAACTCTATTATATTATGGTCATAAAATTAAGTTATATTTTACTTGCTTTTGATTAGTATAAAAAAATTTTAACTCTGTCCTCTAAATGATTGATTGGTTGGTAGTCCTTAGCCACATGACTCCTGCCAACTATAAAACTTTTCTTTGTAAGTATTTTCAGATATATCATAAGTTGCAATAATATAATAATTATTATTCAAGTCCTGAAATATGTCAGTGGTTTTATACAAATCTAGATATATGAGAACATGTATATGAATTTTAGGGCAACTGTGTAGGCCACAAAATTATCCTGTGGAGCTGAACTGTTCAACATGGTAGCCACATGGTAAATTGTGTAGTGATTTAAATTTAAATTAAATAAAATTAAAAGATCAGTTTCCCAGTCACATTAGTACATTTCAAGTGCTCAGTAACCATATGTGGCTAATGACTACTGTACTGGACAGCACAGATACAGGACATTTCCATCACTGCAAAAAGTTCTCTTGAACAGCACTGCTCTAGTGCAAGGGAAATTTTAACTTATTGCTGGTGATGGATATTCCCAGTTAAGCCTTCCTTCCAATTGTTTTAGCCGCAGGGGTTCAAACTGGCTCTTCTCTCTTTGTTTCACAGGTTCTTGGCAAAAATAATTGTTAAGATGGTGCCCAAAGAAGTTTCCCAAGACTTTTAACTTCTTTGCTTTGATATATACCTGAACCAGTATAGTCTACTAAAGAAAAAAAAATCTTATCCAAAGTGAATTTTGGTCAGCTGTTTTTGACGTTAGTTCTCCCCGCCCCAAGAAACATTAATTATACTACTTTCTCAAGTCTTCACTCAAGTCTTCTTAACTCTGATGCTGTGCTCTGGCCTGTGGGACGTTACACCTTACAGGCCTTTTATCAGAGGGCTCAGGTTTGCCCCATCACAAGAAACATGTGCCGTATTTCTCCCAGTGCCACAAAACCAGACTTGGGCCTAAAATAGCCAAAGTGGTGACTAAGATTTATTTGGACAGGGCCAAGCTGTCACAGCAGAAAAGGGTCATGTGAATTTACCACATCCCTTTGCAGGGATATTTAAAGTTTCATGACCCACCGAACAACCTTGAATTAGGAACATCAGCAGAGTTATGAGTTTTGCAGCTTCTTCTACAGACAGCTGTATGCCTTGGAGTGATTCAGCCCCTCTGGTTAAATAAAGCACGTTATACCTACCCTCCTCAGAGAAGTAACTTTCCTCATTCTGCCTCTTCTGCGAGCTTCTAGAACAGAAACTGCAATGCCCCTGGCTTCCAGAGCCACCATACAACTTATTGTCACCAGTGAACAGCTAGGTATCCATCCTCCCTCCCAGACCCTGTTTTTAAGCTTCTCAAATGGTGAGCAACAACCGACTTTTTATGACTCTCTTTGAAGTGATTAAAAGGGAAGTTCACAGAAAGCAGTAGAAAACTGCTTTTGTTCTTAGTCAGAGGTAGGAAATTTTTATTGTTGGTGGAAAGAAGAAAGAGAAGGAGTACAGCATTATGGGAAAGAGTAGGCTCTGGAGCTACATTGCCTTAGGTGAATCCTAGCTGGGACACTTAACAAGCTGTGTAAACTTGAGCAAGTTATTTAAATTCTCTGTGCCTCAACTTCTTTATCTATAAAATGGGAAGAATGATAATAGCTAACTCATAGGGCTGTTGTAAGGTTTTGATGAATTAATACATTACAGCATTTCAAATGTACCTAGCAGCCCAGCCAGTGTGGCTCAGTGGATTGAGCGTCGTCCCATGGACTGAGAGGTCCTGGTTCGATTTCATTGGGGCACATGCCTGGGTTGCAGGCTTGATCCTCAGTAGGGAGCATGCAGCAGGCAGCCGAAAGATGTTTCTCTCTCACATCGATGTTTCTATCTCTCTCTCCCTTCCTCTCTCTCTCTCTCTAAAAAATCATTAAGAGCCTGGCCAGTGTGGCTCAGTGGTTGAACATCGACCCGTGCACCAAGAGGTCACCAGTTTAATTCCTGGTCAGAGCACATGCCCAGGTTGTGGGCCCGATCCCCAGTGGGGGGCCTGCAGGAGGTGGCCAGTTGATTGTCTCTCTCATCGATGTTTCTATCTCTCTCTCCCTCTCCCTTCCTCTCTTTCTAAAATCAATAAATAAATAAATTTTTTTAAATCAATAAGAACATATTTTTTAAATAAATAAAATAAAATGTACCTAGCAGGCATAAGTGCTCCATAGATATTATTTGCTATTAACATTATTATTAGTTATTGTTTTATTACAATTTTAATGTTAATACATTTGATTTGCTAATCTATATATAATTATAATTCCTTAATGGACACTCCATACCATTTTAGCTTTTTTCCGGTCATGGACATTAACATTTTGAGGTTTTTAAAGGCTTTTTATGTATATAAAACACAAAAATTTTTCCTGGGTAATCTCTATTTCTGTATTTCTTCCAAAGTAATTATGCTTAGATAGTTCTGATCATTTTGATCATTTTCCTTCCTGTATCTAGAAAGAGAGGATCTTTTACGTGTGATATAATATTCACTTCTCTTCTATTACCTTCCTGTAGTATCATATTCATATGTGATATACATTCTTTAGAGCAGTGGCTCTTCGAGTGTGATTCCCCGACTGGCAGCATTACCATCACCTGGGGACTTAATAAACATACAAATACTCAGGTTCTAGTACAGTTAAGCAAGAAAACAAAATAAAAGGCATCCAGATTGGATGATTGTCTTTGTTTATAGATGACATGATTCTGTGTACAGAAAATCCTAAGGAATCTTCAAAAAACTATTAGAAATAACAAGTTTAGTGAGGTCACAGGATACAAGATCAGGGTATAAATTTGAATTGTATTTCTGTATATGAGCAATGAACAATCTTAAAATGGAATTAAGAAACAATTCTAGCCCAGCCCGAGTGGCTCAGTTGGTTGACAGTTGTTCCATGCACCGAAGGGTTGCCCGTCGGGGCACGTGCCTGGGTTGTGGATTTTATCCCCCCTTGAGGAGCTTGCCAAAGGCAACCTGTCGATGTTTCTTTCTCCCTCTCTTTCCCTTCCGCCCTCCCTCCCTCCCCTCCCTCTCTCTAAACATATCCTCAGGTGAGGATTAAAAAAAGGAACAAGCCCTGGCTGGTTTGGCTCAGCGGTTAGAGCGTCGGCCTGCGGTCCGGAGAGACCCGGGTTCGGTTCCCGCTAAGGGCACGTACTTCGGTTGCAGTTTGTCCCCGGCCCTGGTTGGTCGTGCGGGTGGCAGCCACTCGATGTGTCCCTTCACGTCGATGTTTCTCTCACTCTCTCTCTCTTCCTCTCTCTCCCTCCCACTCTATCTGTACAAAAAATGGAAAAATATCTTCGGGTGAGGATAAAAAAATAAAAATAAAAAAAGGAACAATTCCATTCACAACAGCATCAAAAAGAATGAAATACTTAAGACTAAATTTAACAAAAGAAGTGTAAGACTTTTAAACTAACTTTGCTGAGAGAAATTAAAGATCTAAATAAATAGAGAGATATTTAATGTTCATGGATTGGAAGACTCGATATTGTTAAGATGACAGTTCTTCCCAAATTGATCTATAGATTCAACAAAATACCTATCAAAGTTTTAGCAGAAATTGACAAACTGATTCTAACATTTATATGGAAATGCAAAGGACCAAGAATAGCCAAAACAGTCTGTAAAAGCAAAGAACAAAGTTGGAAGACTCATACTTCCCAATTTCAACATTTACTCTAGTTATCAGGACACTGTGGTACTGTTATGGTATAAAAATAGACATGTAGTCCGGCTGGTGTGGCTCAGTGATTCAGTGTCGACCCATGACCAAAAGGTCGCCGGTTCGATTCCTGGTCAGGACACATGCCCAGGTTGTGGGCCAATCCCCAGTGGGGAGCGTGCAGGAGGCAGCCAGTTGATGTTCTCTCTCATTGATATTTCCATCCCTCTCTCTCCCTCTCCCTTCCTCTCTCTCTAAAATCAATAAAGGAAAAAAAATTTTTTAAATAGACATGTAGATTATGGGACAGAATTCAGGAAT